ATATATATATAAAATTAGAAATCAGTTCGAATAAATATATTATTATATATAATGGTAAACATACCAATTGTACTAAGCTATCAATGGCTCTGTTGAATCTGTCACACAAGCTCTTCATACTTTCGTAATCTCTCGTATCGTAATTACAAAGAATATTATTTTCTAAAGGTAATTTCAAGTCAGGCAGATCATCGCAAACCCATCGCATAGTATCAATAACGTCCTGTGCTCCATCATGACGATCCTACAATATAGGTACTATACATAAGGCACTATATAGGTACTATACATAAGGCATTAGTTGTGAAAAAACAATTCTGTATGACGCGTGAGACAACGTGACAAGCAACGTGAATAATACTAAATTTGTAATTGAAATATATCACGATTCGCGACTTTATCCGCATTGTTCGTACATAACGGAGTTTGAGACTTTTCGATAATTTACTTACAGCACCTGATCCGGAAGTGAGAGGCCACTGATAAACAATCGGTTCCGCTCCTGCTGGCGAGTGCAAACGCAACTCCATTTTTATTAGCGAGTCCTTTCCCTCGTTCCTCTTTGTGTATTTGAAACGAACAAGAGAGAAGGAGACGTACGCGCGCACGCACGCACGCACGCACGCACGGCACGTACGCACGTACGCACGCACGCACGCACGTAAGGCGCTTTATCCGTCCCGCACGAACCCGAGGGATCCGCTTGGATCCGCCTCCTCGACGTGACGTGATGTAACCACGCAATGTCGAAAAAACACCGTCAGTCGATGGATCGGGATAAACACGACGACGGCGGCGATGAGGCAGTGCTAACTTGAGTGGCGGTGGCGGTAGCGATGGCGATGGCGATGGCGATGACGGTGACAAACGGTTGCTCCAATCGATCACTTTTTTTCTTTTTCTTCTCACTTCTTTTCTCTCTCGTTATTCTCTCGTACTAGAATATGATCACCGCGTAGATGACGCTCGCGGATCCCCCCCGTACCGTAACTATTTTCACGGGCGTGAAAACGTCCGAGAGCTTACGTTCGCCCACAGCGAACTTTGTACGAGAACGAGGGTTATCCAGCTTCGTGCAGCGTGCATGCAAATTGACGAGTAACGGGACGCTACAGCGTTGGTGACTACGTAACGTGTCGTGTCATCGGAAACCACCGGGAACGTGCGGTATGAATCTACGGAAAAGCACACGCGCTAAAAACACGGGCTATGGTGCTGTACGTTGTACGGCGAAACAGCATTCAGCGGAGAGGGGATGACGACATCAAAACATGGCGAACATGGCATCATAACTCTTCCATCTTCCGTCTGTCTCCGCAATGTTTAACCACACGGAAGCGCATTCCGTCACAGAACACTCTATTTCTCTCCAGTCCTCTTGAACATCGTTACCATTGGCTGCGTTCAGCAGAAAAACAGCTTTGCAAATGTTGTAAAATCCTTTAATATAATTATAATCCTTTTATATAATATAATTACATTTTACTTTATACATTTAGATTCCTCAGGAACTATGGGCAAAAACCAATTATATCAAAGATTTTTACAACAGTTGCAAAGCTGCTTTTTCCGCTGAACGCGGCCAATCACTATCTGTCATTCTTCGTCAATAAATCGACATGTGTGCTTTCTAAACAAAACTTTCTATTCTATATTCTTCTCTACAAATTTTGCATTTTATTTTATCTGCATTTTGAATGCACGTTTGGATTGTACGTTTCCAGATAGCGCATTTTTACTGAAAATGTACGATCAAATTCATTCATGTAATTATCATTAGCTGCGTTTAGCAGAAAAAGTGGCTTTGCAACTGTGTAAGATTCTTTAATCTTATATAACATTACATATATTCGATGGAGCATTATCGGTATTACATATATTCGATGGAGCATCAGATCAATCGAATCAAAATTATAGCATAATATAAGGTTTGTTCTTTTCCTCTGTCTTGGCTGCACTAATCAGCACTAGTTCAAAAAGTGTACACTGAAACGTTCTTTTAGACGATTACACATAGGGATTGTTTTTTATTCCCGCACTAGCTGCACTAGAACTGGGGGTCGATCATGTAACTTTTCCCCTAGGGGAAATGTGAAAAGTGAAAAGTTTCACGTGAACTTACGATCATGTACGATTATGTGGGATCATGTAACTCTCTCAAACGTGAAAATGTGAAATTTTTCACGTGAACTTTTTCGCCATGTACCTTGATGGCGGAAAGGCGGAAATTTAGGGAACTAATAAATATGCTTCGGAATTAGAGAAGATTAGGGCTGCGTTAGGATTAAGTGTACGTAGTACATATACAATTGGTTATTAAAAGATGTATATAATACTGTACCAATAAATAATTTTCATTAGCTATAAAACCTATGAAACTATGTTTCATGATTTTACTTTCCACGCTACATACATAGCATCCAAGCTACATATATAATCGCTGTACGTGAAAAGTTTTACGTGAAATATCAAGGTGTAAAAAATGAAAAGTAAAAAGTGAAAAATTTCATGTTACATGATTGACTCCCTGATGACGATGAACCTGTAATTGCACATCCATCATTAGAATCAATTTTAGTTGAAGATAATAATGGTAAGAAATTTAAATCATATATATTATTATATACAAACTTAATATTATTAATAATATAATACGCAAGATTAACCTAACTTTTTAGAAGAAAGTATCCCAGATGCGCACATTTTCAATCGAACACATCATTCACATCAGCCGATGCCTAGGAATTTCCTAGTGAGACCTATCAAAAATTTTTTTATTTAATCGATCAATCGGCAATGTGTCCGATTGGACATCTCACCCGTTTGATCTTGTTGATTCATTACATATTGCCTGCTATGATGTTGTTGGTTCATTATATGCTGTCTGATGCGAAATTTCTTCATTACATGTTGCTTGATGCGACATTATCGTCGATTGATTGATTACATGTTGCTTAACTTTAATTTGTATACTTGTATTTATATTATTATAATTATTTTCATTATTTTCATTACTATAATATATCTATAATATATAGATATATAATATAATATATTATTTTCATTATAGATCTATAATATATTTAAAATAGACGATTAAAATAATTTTATTATATAAGAAACGGTTTCTAATAATTAAAACTTTTTTGATTTAAAATCTAATATAAAACTTACAAAGATGTTGATCTACTATTATTTTTTAAAATTATGCCTTTATTTCCTGATAACAATAAGGTTTCAATATTATGTTTTCCGCCTAATAATCCTGCTAATTCCCTATAATTAAATTAAACGTGTTTTATAACAGATAATTGATTTTATAATAAATAATTAATTTTATACATTTTAAAATTTATTGATACACTTACGTCTCATAAGGACAATTTAATCTATTTCTTCTACTTTTTTTATTATGGATTACATTTTTATAAGATCATTCCAATGATTTATATTTGTTTTCTACTTGTATTGCAGAAACATTATAGCCTTGCATTTTCATTTTTTCTGAAATTTTTTGCCATAGAATCTTTTTTGTTTTAATTTTTTTTTTATAATTAGATCTATGTTTTTTTATAGAAACAAAGATAGAAACAATTTTGTACTCGTATCTATCCAACAAAATGCTTCTCTATATACTTCCTCTTTTCTATTCATATCCTTATTATTTAATTCATTTGTATTACTAGGAATATTATGCCATGTTATTAATATATTTTTATTATCAATAATACAGCACATACTGTCAAAATTAAAATCAATTTCTTTCTATAATATGTGAAATTCTAATCCTCCTGCAAATGCATACAACAATATATTAATTTTTATCTTTTGCTTATATACAGATATCTATTTAAATCTACAGAGGTTGATATTCATAATAGTAAAAATAATAAATAATTTTGAATTCTTCATTAAATAATATATAAATACTAAATTTAAATGGGCAATCTTAATATACCTTTAGAGATACATGTAACGTATTCATTTTTATTTATCAGAATGTTTTCTGCGCTGTTTTTTTTTTTAATAAATGCTATTTCATTATCGTTTGCCATTTCTATGGAATATTAGACGGAATAATGTGCGAAAATCCGATTTATCAAATAAATGACACTTTGATGACTTCTGTAGACATCGGTCGAATCTCCCGTCCGTTATTCTGTATTAGCGGGAGCGTCCCAGATGCGCACATTTTCAATCGGACACACCACTCACATCAGCCGATGTCTAGGAATTTTCTAGTAAGCCACCTATCAAAAATTTTTTTATTACTCGATCAATCGGCATTGTCGTTGTGCAATCCGATTGGACTTCACCCGTATTAGCTCTCTTCCCTTTTCTCCTTCGAGATTATTCTTAAATAACAAATATCTTAATTCTTACAAATAAATATAGTTTTTGAAGGAGAATCTGTTTGCTATTATTGTTTGTTTCTTGTCTATTGTCTCGATTGTTAAATGTTTCGAATTATGTTTTTCAATAGAATTCGCAAGAATTTGGTATTACAAAGACTTGAAAATAATGATGGAATACAATAAGTATAAATTTAAAAACAGATATGTAATATTTATATATATTATTATTAATTATTATGCATTAGCGTCCGATTTTCTAATTTACAAATTTAATATTTAATGAATATTTAATGAATGAACTGTTTTCTAAACGGTATTGAAAGAATTAGACGACCGTAAGTAGTCATGAAGGAGTTTTGGAATATAAATCAGCTAACAGAGAGGAGCTAACGTCGCGATCGTGCAGACTAAGTGTCTTGG